TGACCTTTGGCGCTAGTTTTGGTGTGGTGTAGGGATAGTTGATAGTGATCGTGCACCTTTATGAGATCGGATGTAGTGATGAAGGTGAGCGAGTTAACGCTAGTGGTGGTGAATTCTCTGGGCCGCAGAAAACCGTAAAAAGCTAGATAGATGGCTGTTTTAATAACACGATTGGTATGGCCTTCGAATGGTGAGGTGTCTAGTAGATTTGATAGTGCCTGGAATAATAGATCGTGGATGGGTAGTCTAGCAGGTGCGGGTGTAGGAGTGGAGTCTTTGATACCTTTAAGTATAGCTTTAACTTGGTAGGAGGATAGAAAGCGTTGTTTGTTAGGCCAAGAAGTGAGTATGTGGTGTTGAATACCTGTGATATACAATTTAATGGTGTTGTATGACAATGTTAGATGAAGGTGGCAAAAGGAGATGAAAGCAATAATGGTCTCCATGGAAAACTGGTCAACAATATTAAAGTCCAACAAGAATTTATTAAATACATCAAAAGCTCTACCATATGCCTTCCTAGTATTAGCAGAAAGACCGAGCTGTGAGAGTTGCCGCCCATGACATAGCAGCTCTTTTAGTCCCAGACCATCTCCTGCCACTGTGGTACCGGAGTTGGTATTAGGGCAGCTGTTGGTAGGGCTTCCCGGAACTCCTGAAACCGAGACCGTGATAAGTGATCAGCTGCAATATTGAGAAAAACAGGCACATGAATGCAAGACAAAAGAAAACTGTGTTTAGCGGCCAGCCATGTGAGAGTCCTCATGAACCGCATGATGGCCAGGGAAGAGGAACGTCCCTTATTTACAACATGGCATGTAGCCATGTTGTCTGAGAAGCAAAGAACCGTATTCCTAGACCAGCCTGCTCCCCACTTAACTGCTGCCGCTACGATAGGATACAGCTCAAATAGTGCTGAAGTTTCCTTAAACCTGGGGATCTCAGTAATCTCTCCTGGCCATTTACCATACATCCATCTGTTGCCCCAAATAGCGGCAAATCCAGAAGTGGCTGCGGCATCTGTCCAGAGTGATACCTAATTTTCTGACCAAACAGGGATAAAAATGCTTTTCCCGTTCCAGTTTAGCAAGAACTCCTTCCACATACGAAGGTCAGCTGTGGCATGTATGTCTAGTGAAATGCGGGATGCGTCAGTTTGAAACATTGGAAACAGGCTAAGCAACCTGGAAATGAATGCTCTCCCCTGTGGAATAATTTTCATTGCGAAGTTCAATGAACCCAACAGGGATTGCAATTCCTTCCTATTACATGAGCCTCCTCCCAAGTAAAGGTCGATGGCTGCCAGGATGCGTTCAATCTTTTCCCTGGGGAGACTAGCCTGCATGTTCACGGAGTCCAGTACTACCCCTAAGAAATTGATTATAGTATTGGGACCTTCAGTCTTTGCCAGTGATACCGGAACTCCTAATCGTGTGAACAGTCGTGTGATTGACTGGAGGCTAGTAGGAGGTGCTGAGTTACTTTCTACAGTCAGGAAATCATCCAGGTAATGGATAACTGTGGGGCATTTACAGAGGTTAAGCAGCATCCAACACAGCGTCTCCGCAAATATATCAAAAATCCTGGGGCTGCTTTTTGAACCAAACGTGAGACGAGTGAAAAAGTAATACGAGCCTTGCCACTTAACCCCATGTAAATGCCATAGGGATGGATGAATGGGGAGTAATTTGAAAGCGTTCACAATATCCGTTTTACATAGCCATGCCCCTACCCCGGCTGAGAGGATGGCTGTGACCGCGTTATCTATGTTAGCATATTGGAGGGAGAATTCTTCAGACGGTATTAATGAATTTAGGCTTGGAGTAGGAGATGCATGGGGGGCTGATAGGTCGAGAATTAGCCTTTGTTTATGTGAGGATTTGTTAGTGACCAGTCCTATGGGATTAGTTCTCCAAACCGTGAACGGCGGGGAGTCAAAAGGGCCTAACAAGAAACCTTGGTCCATTTCCTTCTGAAGGAGTAAGTCGATAGTGTCGGGTGCTGCTAGGGCTGTCTGTAAGTTTTTACATTCCAGGATCCCTGTAGGCATGTGAACAATACCCGTGTGAAACCCCATCGTAAACCCTGTCACCAAAAAGTCAACGAGATGTTGTGATGGGTGATTACGCAAAAGTTCTTTCAGTAGGGAGACATGAAGAGACGTTTGATACTGCTTAGGGAATAGTTTATTGGGGCACATTGCCTTGGCGTGAGCGCTGAAACAGATTGAACAGACATGCAGAAGTCTGCAGGCACTGTAACCGCAAGATCCGGTGTTGAAATTGTTACAGACCTGTGACTTGCCCAAGAACACTATATCACGGCCTAGTTTGTCTTTAAGCACCCTGCCAGACCTCCCTGTGGGTACCACATTAGCAGGTGAAAAAACAGCATTCACCTCAGGAGAATTAGGGCATAAATTAGCCGTGTGGGAATTGGATGAACAAATGGCACAAGCTGGAGTTTTCAGGCCCGCAAAGTGCCGGCAAAACAGCTCAGTATCAAGCACACCCCAATCAGCTTGAATATTGAACTGTGCTAGGGTGGCCGACGCCTTTGCGGAAAAAGCACGGTGGTAGTCGTAAAATGACGTACCACCGTACTTGTGCCCCAAATCCACCAGCTTGTGGAGGTAAAGGTCCAATTCTTCCCTCCTATTTGGATATTCAGAGCATAGGACGTCCCTGTATATACCAAAAGCCAGTACAAATTCTGGAATAGAAAGCTTTTGATTCAACCTGGGATCTCTGGACTTGAGAACCACCGACACATCCCCATATGCATATGTCTTATTCTCAAGGACATCTTGTGAGGCAATAAAAAGTGATACCAGATTGATATCCTTTCCTTCCAAGATGTCCTTTCTGGTTTTAGCAGGTACCATGTGTGCTGGGTTAATTATATGTGGGTCTTTAGAACTGGTTGGTAAATTACCCGGTAGGGGGTCCAAGCATACTGCAGCAACTGGGCTCCCTGCAGTAGCAGGCGACCTTTGCTGGCTATCTGCGTCCATTTTGTCCAGTTTGTCCGTAATACGACCCAAAGAGGTCAGGACTGACGACAAAACTGACTGCAGATCTGAGGAATGGTTCCCTCTGGATCCTTCCCCTGCCCCAGAGTTATCAGTCTGGGTATTTAAAAGTCTGTACAATTCAGCTTTCCTAGCTGTAGCAGGGAATGGAATATTTCTCTTCCTTAATTCAGCCGTAATTCTTGGAACAGTCCACGCCCTGAGTGATGCAGGGCTTGTGTTGTCTTCACCCCACGATGGAGTGACCGATCTAGCCGGTGTACTGGTGATGGACACATCTTCCCTTTCTTCAGGAACTTGTGACATGCTACAACATAAAATAGTATGTTATCTGGGGTTACCCAACTGGCTATTGTAACTAATGCCGAGCGGCGAAGAATTACTAAGCGACATGACAGGTGAGGCCCTACTAGTGGCCAAGCGGCTTTGAGAGGCACTATCTATGATTTGGCGCGTGTGGGGTACGTGGCCATTGGCATTATGGCGGGGTGGTGGCCTCTCTGTGACTTGTAAAGGCATAAGACAGAATGGGAGTGACAAGTGAGGCCCTCTCTATGCAACTAAGCGAGGCGGCTAGCTATGAATGGGCCCGAGGGGATGCCGTACCTCCGAATTGAGGATGGGTGTTGGCCTCGCGGGACCACTAACGTAAGGCGTAGAAGGCCAGAAAAACATACCTAGTGGGTCCTATTTTTAGTATGCCAGTATCTGTATAAACCCTAAAGGGTAGGTAGGGAGGGAGAAGTAGTCGAAACGTGACGTACCTGCTGAGTAAGTTGCCAGATAGTATGAGAAGAAGTGTACAGGAGATCTGTCGTAATCTACTAGAGTAATTGACGTTTTGTATGGGTAGAATAAAACGAAATTGTGCCCCTAAATCCCCAGCTAATCTGATACCTACCAGTAGTACTTCACTAGTAGTGAAATTTTGCAGAAAGTAGGACACGTGACCCAGGTGAGCTGTAGTAACCTACGAGAGTAATATGAGTTTGTAAGGGTTAAAATATGTAGCCCTTGACCCCCTGCTGATCAGATACCTATAAATAATATTCCAACAGTTTAGGTGACTGGAACCTGAATACTCCAAAGTGCAAGGATGCTTATACCTAGTAATACTGAAAATACCTTTGAGGAATCTGGTCTGGCGTGACCCATTAAGGTATATTTAAATATATGAACTGACCTATGTAGAGTGAAACAGTTGGTGGGGTAGCAGAACCCAGTGGACTTGGTGTAGAACACTGAATACAAGAGGTCCCTAATCAAATTGACCGTTAAGTATGACAAAATGTCCGTATATTGATACTCATATGGTGCACACAACATTGGACTACTGATGCTGTAATCCTACAAACAATTGATGTCGTGATTATAAACACTTCTGATCAGCAGGGTAGTGCAAGCAACTAAATAGTACTGAAACCGAGCACCAGAGGTCTCCTTAGTGCCTATCATAATTATACCATATAATAGACTAGAGATTCGGCAAACGAAATGATCATAAGGTGACCGAGTGTAAATGCATTGTTCAACTTATTAATAAACATATTTAACGAATTGCCCAACAAAACTTTAACCAGCATAAGATATATAATCATAACTGAATTTATAAGCTACTTGTGCCAAATGCCATAACTTTTATAACCACCAGGGGTCGTGGAATGTACTTGAGAGGGAAATCAGTGACAATGAACCAGCCACCAGAGGTCGCCCTAGGGCATACAACAAGTTGTAACATAAAAAGTGAAACAGCTTTCGGCAAACGAACGGGCATAATATGAATGTAACGAATTGCCCCATACGAAATAATATGTAACATGCTATATGCGTATACAAGCCGTAAAACCGAACGCCGGCATTCGTGTGAATATTTACCGAAGAGTTTTCACGTGTGCGACCGTAGTATTAGGATGACGTAAAACGGCCGCGCCGAAATTGTGACGGCCGTATAACTTACGATTTTGCCGTAATGCAAGCGCAGCGAATCGCCCGGCCAGGAAATGAAGCCAGACGGGCGAAACCGGATGAGACAGCACTCGTTGGGACCCAGGAAGCTACCCACGAAGATACAGGTAAGCAGAATGGCGCCAGGAGAACCGGAAGTGACGATCTCTCTACCCACAATTCGCCAGACCCAACAGGTAATGAGGGAAGGGTTGATGCTCCTTAAGAAGGGGAACCAAGCCCCTCCCACAACTTCAGGCCACGCCTTCCATATATATATATATATATATATATATTTGCAAGCATTCAAAACCAACCCTTTAATTTTGTACAGCTATAATTTAGATTATTAGTGGCAACAGGTATTTTGGCAGATGTATATCCCAACAGTTAACCCCCAAATGACAATCACTCAAGTGCAGCAAAAGATGTTTTATAAAAAAAGTTAGAGAACGTATAACAAATAGTAATAATCATTTTCTAGATAAACAATTGTAAAATTTACTAGATAATTATCTTTTGCACTGCGAATTGTATATTTCCCATAATTGCAGTTAAAACATATTAAAGGCTATCCAAGCAATTTAATCTAAACACTAGTATAAAAAATATAAAGAAATTATACAGTTTCATACTTAATGTTCCAGGATCTTAGATGAGATTTATGGAGATAAAGGTTACTGTTGCTCTGGATTGATCAAACTTCATGTCACCGGATAAAAAAATTGAGCACCCACTGGCAGTCAGAAAATTTAACTTGTACTTGTGAAGGCCTCTGTACCCTGTCTGCTACAAGCCTTTCCCCAAAACACTCCAAAAACCAACTGCCAAAACCTCCATAAAACAGCTTACACAATAACCATAGTAACATTTCCCCCTTCCAGCCTTTTCCCTACCCATCAACCTGCAACCTGCCTCCTGACTCTAAATTGGTTAAACTGATTTGTTAACCTATTCAGTGCTTAAAGTGGCATTTATTTAAGAAACATCAGTTAAATTGTGAACTAATAACTTAGGTAAAAAAATATTGTGTTAAAATGTTAGTCAACGTCATGTCCATAACAAGTGGGAGTACAATTTCCTATTAGTAAGTTATTTATCCTGGGTCAAGATGAAAATAGAACTCTCTATAAATATTAAAAATCCTCAATGCGTAAACCATTTATGGGCAAAAGGTTGTAGAATATAAAAACACACCCACACACTCTCACAACACTTAGGGAGTGGGAAAAGAGGTGGTGCTGTATCTAGATATTAATAAGTTGAGACCTTGGCTATAGGAATTATGCAGATAGATTTGATAACCAATGTATTTTTTTTAACATTTCAAAATAATCATGTTTTTACTTCTCTGGCTCATTAATACGCCATTATTTTATTAGTTCAAGACACTTATAGAAATTACCGATATACTACACTAGGGGAAAAAGATTTCTATAAATTATAATTATTAATTTCTATTATCTCCCTAGGTTTTAGTTGACTGAGATCTTCAGTGATTTTTGAAAAATAAGGCTGTTCCACTCAGCACTTCACCTCTTGTTCTCCTGATTGAAGGACCATTACTATTAACAATCTTGTCCTGTTTGGTGTCTGATGTTTTCCTTTGCACCTGCTGTTTTTGGGGCAATATGATAACTTCATTGACAGAGGTGACATTTCAGTAAATCGTGTTAATGGGAGAAGTGCACAATTGCACTTTAACACAAATTTGAGCTTGCATAAAAATGCCGTTGTTATTTGTATATTGGCTAGTTATTTTCATGTTACGGCTTGTTATGATAATATGTTGATATATATTCATATATAAGTATAGCTGTCACATTTCCCTTGTTTTAACAGCCCATTCTATTCTTAATATGTAGGTAATGCTTTCTATTTTTAAACATGTTCATCTTCCTGTAAGAAAATAACACTCTGGAACACATGATCTGCTTTGAATAATGAATACTCCAAGCAATATATACACTACATTGTGCGGTATGGGCTTTGGTGACAAATGTTCTGGTACCCACCCAATGCTTGTTAAGTGGCAGATCAATAGCACTCACACTTGTAGGGGCCTATGGGTATCTCAGACCAGGCATGACTGAGCTCTACCAGACCAGCAATGCTAGAGGGAAATGAGGTCAGGTCACTTCCTCTCAGCTTACAGTGAGAACCATGCAGACTTAGAGCAGGCACAGAGAGGAGAGGGAAGAGGAATGAAGGCCTGCACTATCTCCCGGCAGCCTTAGCCAGTAGCCAGATCCACTAGAGCCCAAAAGGTAAGGAAACAGGAGAGTGGCTAAATATATGGAAATAATAACTTCTATATGTCTGTGTAATTATGCATGTGTATCTGTGTGTCAGTTTGTATCTGTATGTGTATATACAAGTAGAGATTGTAGCCATATTAGTCCAGTGATCTAGATGTAAAAAACAGATACAATTTGTATCTTGTAATACCTTTTTTATTGGACTAACAGAATGTTTTAATGACAAGCTTTCGGGATAACCTCCCTTTTTGAAGTCTAAAGCATTTCTGAGCAAGAGGACACATAGAATACGTGTCGTCTTGCTCAGAAATGCTTTAGACTTGAGAAAGGGAGGTTGTCATTATAAAATTCTGTTAGACCAATAAAAAAGGTATTACTAGATACAAATTTTATCTGTTTTTTTACATGTGTATATACACGTGTTTGGTTATGTGTGTATGTGTGTATGTGTGCATCTGTGTGTGGCAGTGTATGTGTGAGTATGTATGAATATCTATGTGTGTGTGTGGCATTGTATGTGTGTCAGTATATATGTGTGTTTGTATGTGTGTGTGTGTGTGTGTGTCTGTATTGCAGTATGGTATATGTGTATGTGTGTGTATGTGCGGCAGTGAATGTGTATATATGCATGCATCTTAGCAATCAAACATCAACAGTATACACAAACACCCCCACAAGCATTCTAAACACCAACACTACATACAAATACACTACTGCAATCAAAAAGCAACACCTCACACAAAGACACCATACATTCTAACAGCCACACTACATACAAATATAGCACTGCAATAAAACACTGAGAGGTATTTCCTTGATCTGTGCTATGTTAATAGAGAACCAATACTTGTTGGCACTCCCCTTTGTTGGCAAGTGGGAGGAAGACATTCATACCATGTTCCTAGAGGAGGAATGGGCTAAAATGCTACATTTGATTTGAAACTCCATTCATCTGCAGGAAACATCATTCAAGTTCTACTCTAGGTGGTACCAAACCCCCAGTGAACCACATGCCACTAACTGTTCTGACTCAGATATCTGCTGGTCGTGTGATTAGAGACGTGCAGTAGCTTGTGTCACATGTGATGTTTCTGCACACTTATTGAGTGGTTCCGATCTGCGATAAACACTGTCATTCAAAAACTGTCAGATGAACTCCCCACATTTGAATCAGCATCTTTTCTCCTCAATCACACTCAACTCCCACTGTAGGGATATAAGAGATTGGTGGTTCCTCATCTACTGAACTAAGCCAAAGAGCTCTCCCATTGTTTTGAAGATGCTGTTGTACTCCCTCATTGTCAGGGTGAGGTCAGGGGGTGGAAGACACCCGCAGATTTGAAGATATGGAGGCAGACAGAATGAAGGCTAGATAACGTTACAAATGCAGAGGGCACTATTGTCTGGAGTGCCTTTCCTGCCTGGGAGTCACTCCATATTTAAGTGTGGCATGATCAAACAACCCTACTATTTTAAGGGTAAAGTCCATATGCAGCAGCTACACACATCAAGCCTACCTTTTTTCTCATCTATTTCCCCCCTCTATTCCATCTGTCCCCCTCTCCCCACCGCCTTTTCTCCCTTACTTGCTTTTCTAGTCTATACTTTATTCTTATTAAACACAAAATAATAAAATATTCCATGAATTATTAGTTTTGTAATATTTGATGTTATGGTGCATCTTATATTCAGGTGTTCTTTAAATATTATAAAAAAGTAATATACTGTATGGAATTGTGTGTGCATTTTTGTGTTCTTTCTCCACATTTTTGCTTTTGTGTTATGTGTCCAGGTTACATTCCACAGTTATCACAACAACATTCTAGTGAATTTGAGGTAAACTGCTAAATAAGAGTCCATTACCAGGGAAACGAATAGATTATGTCAAATGATGGATCTATATTTACCCCCTTGCCTTGTAATTGCTCCATTTTAGCTATGATAAATATGGCTTCTAGTCATACTGTTAACATTTGGATTCTGTTAGCCTCCCTGGTGAGTCCTGACCCTATGCTACCCTTGTCTGAATTTCCACTCATGATAGACCTCCTGCTGTCCCCAGCTTTTATAGGAAGCCTTTTTAGACATCTGACTCACTAATCTTTTAGTATCTTAACGTTCTCTCCTTCTAATGAGCTAACCTACTAATCATTCCTACAATGAGAAATGCAAACATTTCAACAGCTATAATTTGTTTCATAGCATGAGACTGCTGATTAAATGTCTAGATTTTTTATAACGACAATACTAATTCATAATTGACTTATGAAGTAAACACTATTTCTATTGAAAGTTGACCATCGAACTACGTAGCAATTACGTAAATGTTTCCATGTAAAAACCATTGGTACCATGTGTTGGCTGCAACAAATATACCAAAGCTTGTGTAAAGAGTTTAATTTATAGTGTCAATTTGTTGCATATTATAATATTATTTTATGGACAAGTTTTTTAAGGTCGTTCTCTCAATTGGCCACCTTTAAAAAGACAGTGAAGTAATCAAACCATTAAAACCTTTTTTATGATAAAGACACATTTTCCCTTATATTTAACATTCTATTAACATGTTTCCATCTAAACAACTTTCTCTGTTCATTTTTGTTTTAACTAAAAATTAGTCCAAAAAACCCCTCTAGTTTTCCTTTAATTGTTGTTTTTTTAAATTTCTATAATTTGTCCCCAAATTCAGGAAATCTGGATACAATGAACTAAGGTGACACAATACCCAATCTATACTTTTATCGTCAGGGAATCCTTATACATACATAAAAGAATAAAAAAGGAAAACAGGTTCACCACTGACACTATTTCCCCACTGACAATATTTCCTATGTGGGTCTTTATTAGCACTCATTTCTAAATTAATGCACTTGTACTTTAAATGTTAAACACTAAGTTGCTTAATACAATAATTTTGAATTGATGATTTCGAATTGCAC